TTTTTTTTTACATTCTGAAGTTGGTGCTGTAACAAGAAGGACCTTTATTTCTTCCCTCTCCCCCGATTTTTTAAGTACCTTGTAGGAGGAGAGGTTGGTGACATGCATGGTGGGGATCTATGGCCTCTGGTGCTTTGTCCTGTATTTGGTTTAATGTTTTCGTCCTAATCTCTTCAATCAATAAAATTGTGCGTATTTAACTAAAATGTGGGAGTCTGTAAAAGATGAATTTTTTTTTTTTTTTTTTTTTTTTTTGCCACCTGTGCTTTGTGGCCACCACACGCCATTCACCCTATCAGGGTGAGCCACTGCTTCTACTTATAAGACATGGAATCTCCCTTTCATTATATTGAGGCATCCGCCCACCAATCTGGATGCAGTAGCTCACACTGAATGAATCGTCACAACCACTGTAGGTGACCTGACTTATGTTCCTAATACAGATTAGGAAATAAACCCAGAAATGTGCATGCCTCGTCCAAGGTTAAACAACTTGTAAATGATAGGCCCAAGACTGGACCCCTTGTCTGGTTAGCCCCAAAGCTTGTTTACTCTTTCTACAATGTTAAGAGTCCAGATGTTCTCAGGGAGAGTGTACTAACAGCTCTGCAGTAACCAGGATTACACAGGGCACAAGTAATCCAGGCTTACACATGGTTTCCCCAGAAGAATCCATGTGCTTCAAACTTGATTGGAACCCTCCTAGGGGACCACCCAACTCTCAGCAGCAGCATGTGCCCAGCAGCCCTTACTTCAGTCTGAGATCTGCAGAATATCAAAGCTGCAGGGGCTCGATAGACAGTCGCATTTATAGAGCACCTTAACAGAAGTAACTATGGCCCAGAGAAGCTCAATTCCCTCCTGAAATGTTTCATGAGCACCTTTGTTATTTCAGTATGTGCTGGGAGGAGACATGGAAACGGACAAATGCAGTAAGCAGAATCAGGTGTTGGGGTACACACACCCAGAACTGTTGGAAGCCCATCGAATGGGCAACTCCTCTCCATGTCTGCCAGGAAGTGTCCTGGAAGGGGTAGCACCTGAAGCAGAGTCCAGAAAGAAAAGAATTTAGATAATAAGAGAAACAGCAGTGGCACTCTGCAGAGAGGATGGTGTGACAAGTATTTAGAGACTTGTCCAAGTTAACACTGTGAATGCCAAGGCCTGGATGGAATTCATAAAAGATCTTGCAAAGACTGGAGTCTGGGGTGTACAAGAGGATGTGGCCGAAGCAGAGGCTTCCTAGCCAATTGGACCAGTCTTCTAAATTCACAAAGGGCTTATTTTTCAGTGACATTCCCTCTGTGTCTTTAGCATCTGGCTCAGTGGCAGGCACCTAACCCGGTGGCTGGCATGTGAAGGTGTTCAGTAAATAACTGTTTATGGATGTATAATTTGTCCTGCGGGAGGAGGACCTCTATATGCTCCAAAATTTCCTTCCAATCACAGGTTTCTAAGCTGCACATTATTATAATAGAAAACGGCCTTTGCAAGTATTGAAGCCTACCATTGGCTTTTGCTATGACACATATAGTCTGATCCAATATTTTTGCTCTTTCTCCTGCCTGTGATTAAGCAGACATGGGCGTGTTGCCTAATGAATGCCTGTTTAAATCTGCACTGTTAAACCTTCCCTTGTGGTTGCTGGGGGCTGGGGCGGAGGGCAGGGGAGTTCTGGCACACACATTTCAAGCCACTATATAATGAGCTTCCACCTTGGTGGAACCCAGACCCAGCAAGCTCCTGCCCCCTTGCCCTCTTAATTAAGGTCTGAAGACTTAGCCAGTAGAAACCTTTCATTTTCTAATCCACTTGGGGATAAACACTTCATTCTTTTTTTTACCAATCTGGACCTGGGGCAGGGCAAGGGGCCTGGGCCACAGGAGTGACGGCAGAGGCGCGGGGAGACAGGAGGCCCAGGATCTGAGTTTCTAAGTCGCTGTGAACTACTTACCTTTTATGAGGACCAGGCTGTTGGGAGGATCAACTGAGCTAAAGTGTGTGAAGGGCTTAGCTCTCGCTAGGCTGGAATAGTGATCGTTACTATTATCAGCCATGAGGATATGGGGGTGGAGTTCTTTGGTACTAGAATGGAGGATCTGTTAGGATCCACCAAACAGAGGTTACAGAGACCCTTCCCTGCTACAACCCAAGCAGCTCCACTTTTCTCAGTTTTTAACATATTAGTTGTTACATAGACATCTGGGGGAAAACAAAAAAGTTTCACTTGTATATATGTGCTGTGGCCTGAATGTTGATGTCCCTCCAAAATTCATATGCTGGAAACTAATACCACATGTGATAGCATTAAAAGGCAGGGCCTTTTGGAAGTAAGTCATGAGGATTCCGTCCTCCTGAATAGGATTAGTGGACTTATAAAGGAGGTTGAGGGCTGCTGCCTTGTCCCTTCCACCGTGTGAGGACACAGCAAAAGGTACCATCTTGAAGCAGATAGTAACCCTCAACAGACACTGAACCTGCTGGCGCCTTGATCTTGGATTTCCCAGCCTCCAGAGCTGGGAGAAATAAATTTCTATTATTTATAAATGATGTAGTCTAAGGTACTTTGTTATAACAGCCTGAACAAACTGAGGTGACATGTTTGAAAACCACTATCAAGTCCGACTCTTACAACATTTGATAAAGCAACTAAGGTCTAGAGAGGAAAAGGCCTGCACAGGCCCAGAGTCACCCAGACAGTGGAATGTGACCTGAACGATCAACGTGCAGGAGCTCTGTAAGCGACGGCCCTGCACAAACTCCAGGGTTCTTACTAAGCCGACTCTTTTGACTGCAATCCTAGGTCCCTTTCATTGTGGCCTTCTTCCCTGACCCAGCCCACCCTCTTCAGTGACTAGCTCAGTGACCAATATCTTGCAGATATTATTCTTCACAGGTGTCAGATAAAATCTGCAGTAATTATGAATTCTCAGTCACACATCAAATGTCTTAAAAAGTGTGCCTATTCATCATCCGTGGCTTTTAGATGTATACAAGTTGGATAATTGCCCAGTGTCCCAAAAGCAAACAAGGGCCAAGAAATTCAGCTTTGGAGCCTGCATCCCTCACTGAGCCCATAAATGGCCCTTGTCAGGTAGGTGTCATTTCTGTGCACTTGAATCCCCAGCCATACATATGACCCCACTGTAGGAACCAAACCCTGAAAAAAAGATCTTTCCTAAGAGATGAAAGGAAAGACAATATGGGAAGCAACATTCATTTAATTCACAGATCAGTCTTTCAAGAAAGATAGTAAGCTGCACACATGAGTAAAGTGAGCCTCAGAGAGGCTAAATGAATTGAAGGAGGCCATACAACTAATACATGGTGAATCCTTTATTTAATCTCCATTGTCACACTATCCCCAAAGCTGTTCCATGCTGATACTTCTCAGCAGAGAGAGGCAAATGCTAAAACATGGGAGCTATTAGCAAAGCTCCTCCCCTCTCTTCTTCCCACCCATTCTGGGAATGTTTTCTGGAGCTCCCACACCCGAGGGAATAGAGAGGAGATGAAAACATAATTGAAGCTGAATGAATTTTTCACCTTTCCCTGAACTTAATCACAATTCAACCAGATTTGGAGAGAAACCTTTGAACACCTAAATCTTCTTCCTTCTTCAAGGAGAAAGTCTCCCTTCTCTTCACCCAGACTGTTAAAACTTCTAAAGGATGAGCATGATTTTAGTCTGCTTGGGTGGTATAACAAAATATCATAGATGGGGTGGATTAAACAACAGATGTTGGTTTCTCCCAGTTCTGGAG